GATCCAAGAACTCCGTATTTTTTTTTTTCGAAAACTCTCATAGACGTCGAATTAGCCGAATTCATGAATTCGGAGTTATGATCGAAAAAAAAATGGCCTTGGAATGAAAGCTTCTCTGGAAGATAATAGACGTCTCATCAGAATTAACTCGGAGTTGTGACTGGAAAATGGGCCCCAGGGTTCATTGGATGATCCTCTGGTATATCTGGAACATCCTTTAAAGTGGATCTTCAAGAAAACTGATCTCAGAACTCTGTGGGGTTTATAGAAGTGCTCATAGATATAAATTTTCTAATTATTATTATGGATGATTTCTAGGTGGCATTTAAATATTTAATTACTTCTAGGCGTTTTAACGGAATTTTCGAAAATTATTTATTGGATTTCTTTTACGGATGCTCCGGATCTTTGGTGGACCAACTCGTGGTCCCCAGTTTAAACTTTCTGGTCAAAACTCCGATTTTATTGTGATAAGACGTCAATGAGTGCTTTTTTAAAAAACTGCGGCGCTCTATGATCAGTTTCACGAATTGACTACTTTTACGGATGTTCCGGATCTTCTACAGGACCAGACTAAAGTCTTACAGGAAACTGACACTTCCCAAAAGGTGGCCAATTATCTGATTAACAACTTCTCCAAAGACAGCAGGAAATTATCTTTTCAAATTTCCGTCCAATCGGTGTTTGGTCCCAATTAGCTCAAATCCCATATGCTACGTGTATTCGTTAATGCCGAATCGACCGTACTATAGGAATCCAGTGGCATCAGTACTATAGAAATCCGACAAAAATGAATCATAGGAATCTTGACTATACAATTTTCACAATACGTACTCTAACGGAACTATCAACTCTATACTTTCATCTCCTCTCTCCTTGATTTGTTTTTCCGTCGATCTTGTTTTCCTTGCTGAGCACCAATGCTACCGACACCAGGGAGGCAGCTCCCATACCTGGACCCTACCTATCGACCCATTAACTCATGAACCGGGGACCAACGGCTTTACTTCCCTTCCGAAGGAAGGCGTGATCAGAGATGTTATGCCTCAGAACATCCCGGCGACGCCGACTGGGATTGAGCCCAGATCTGCTGGGATGAGAGGCAATCACGCTTACCACTACACCACCGGCGCCGCTATCTTCATTTCCTTATCTATCGTAAAATATGACCACTTTGAGCCAGACATTTTACGTTAAGCATCTCAAACTCTGTAAGTTCAGTTTGATTACCTTAACTGTACTTTCTAATCTCATTGTCGATATTCCACTTCTTATTTTTATCTGGATGGTCATATCATGAAATTGCAGCAAGTACTCCCTTACTTCTAATAAGGTTTTTAAACCTCATTAAACAACGCATATCATTAATTCGGTTCATCTATGCTCGGTTCCTGGTTTCTTTGGCCAACCGTTTAACTTCTTATTTAGTCAATTCAATTAATGTCTAGAAAGTCGCCATATTTGTGCAAAGGCTCGCCTTTGCTAATTGAGGTGGAAACCGTGGGTTCCTAAAAAGATTTCTTCCTAAATTCTCGTGCATTCTGGGTTCCGGCTGCCCTTGTCAAATTGTTCATCTCCACATCTATGCTCATCTAATCCACTCAGTATTCTCATTTAATTTGCTCCATAATATTCTAGAAATTCTGTCCAGAATACTTTTTGTCGTTGCCAAAAGCTACTTTCTTCTCTGGTTTAAAGAGTCTTTCGCTTTTTGAGATTCGTCTAGGAGGTACCTTTCCCTGATCAAGGAGATAAGTGTTCACTTCTAGATTTCGAGAGTCTTTTCGGATTCGATAAAGAACCTGGAATAAGATTCGAACTTGATTTATTGAAAAAAAAAGTGTACAAAGTGATCTGACGGTTACGTGTTGCATTAGCAACTTAAAATTATGTAAAACTTTTACTTGGTTTGTTCAGGATTTTACATATCCCTTTCCATACTGGACTTTTGCCTAATTTTGCCTTTTATAATAGCTAGGCAAATTTGTATTTTTAGACCTTATATACTATGCCCTCTCAGATCTGGGATTTCTCGGTTATTTTGAAAATTTATTGTTTTTCTTCTACTCGGATCTGAAGGCCGCTTACAAGCTAAGAATGACGAACATTTGTAACGTTTAAGTATGAAATCATATTCCTAATAGACATAGAGAAAAACTAAACCACTTTTTGAGCAAGAGAAAATAACTAATGAATACCTAATTCTGACCTTATACCTGAAAATTTGATGTTGATCAGCAAGAGGTAAAATATCGAAGGATAATACCACAAAATTGCATGCAAAGTACTTAGTAAATAACAAAAAAAAATATTGATGATGATAATTGTCTACCACTTATTGTAACACGGAAACTAAGGCCAATAGCCTAAGTCTAAGGCGCTCCACACTGTTTGATTTGATCAAGCTTAATAACCTCTGATTGTCCTCAACATGTCACTTTATGAAGGACCAAAAACAGGTTAGGTGGATCGATAGGTAAATTCACCTGTACGCCTCCGCGGGATGGTAGAGAATCTCCTTTCAGCCACATGATCAAAAAACGAGCCGCCCGAAAGAAGGATACCCCAATGAGTGTGGAGAAGAGCTCGCCCTTTTCCACGAGATGTTAACAACAGGGAGTTGACTATTTCTCCCTCCCCATCCAAATCGCCTCAATCAGGTGCCCTGATGGTCCATCCCAATCCTAGCTATGTTTTGTATATATGAGCAATAGACCTGTTCATGTTAACATAAATGTTCGGGATGCACCGGGTCAACCGTGATTACTGTTCGTCATGTGACACTTGCCTTTGATAAAAAAAACACGTCTGCTGAGGATTCATATTTCTAAAAAAAAATCATCCATCCATGAAACAGTCATCGTTTGTCATTGAAAAGCTATGCAACTATGTTCTGTCAAACTAGTCTTGTGAATTGTAACTATAACGGCCTCTTTTCTGATTTTTATCTCACAATCTATGGAATCTACACGAAAACTATGTTTGAACAAAATTTCTAGAACAGTATAAGAAACATTCCCAGATAACCATTTGTTACGTATACCACAGTTACAATTGAAATATGCAAGCATATATACCATTTGTTTAAATCGTATGTAATGTTCAAAAATGCCCTTTACGTACAAAAGTGGAGGCAATATACAAGCATCGCCAAAACATTAAAAAAAGAAATGGCTAGATACGATTTTGATAAGTTATTTTTAAGACCTACATTAGCATTTTCTCCGATTTCTGATAGACTAAATAACGATTCCTATTCCTGCATTGATTTATGGTTTATATATTTACGATTAAATTTTTACCACAAGTCTATTGTCTATGAAATATTACGATTTGAAACACCTTTATACACGATGCACTAATTGATTACTGATTTACTTCACCATTGTATGCAATTTTCGAGGTCCATAGTTACGATTTTGTTTGATATTTTAAACGACCAATAAAATTAGCGTCAAAAAGTATTTTTACATGCACACAACATCAATCAAAGCCCCAATGCACTAGGACTTCCGTATTTGGCATGAAACTTATGTTATACTTACATCTTACACAATTAAAACCATCACTTACTGGAATCGAACTTTGAACACCCGGGTTGTTAGTTGTCGAGCTATGCACAGCATCACACATGAGTTGTGAGTTTTGCTGATTCTAATCAATAACATTTCACATCTATCGTATGGACCATCAAAGTAAATCGTTTATCCATGTTGTTAAATGTTGCTGCAATACGAGTTGATTCATTGATAAATGCGACTTTTTTTGTCGTCGTTTTTCACTCGTCATCCTATACAACACATATTTGACAAGGCGAAGGAGCCATACTTGTTTACATTTGCGTCGCTATCAATAGTCTGTATGAATTCGCGTGAAAAGCAGTGCAATTTGCTTTAAAACTAAGCTCCGTGGTCATTTTTCACCCAGAAAAGGTAATACACAATAAAAAAGTACATAAAGGTACCATAATATAACATCAAATATATTTTCCAGATGTTAACCGTGGCGTAATTTTTCGAAAAGCAACAACTACGAGTATTGGCTATTCCATCCTCTTGGATTCGAGGCGGCTGCTTGCTATGGCCAAAACTTCTATCAAACGATAAAATTGACAAAATGCGTGTAGATGGAACTGAATTTCACGGGGCTTCGAAAAAAATTCCGGCCATAGTAACCCGAAAATACCGGAGTCTTCAAGCAGCAGAAGCAGCCGCTGAAGATCTTTTAAAGCATGAAGTTTATGACATAGAAACTAAACGAAAACTTCTGAAACACAGCAATGTGAAGCAAAATCCACGCAAGGATTACAACCGGGCCATTGAGAGTATGTTGCGCATATAGCAAATTATTTCGCAGCTATAATATCTATTTTTTTAGAAATTGTTTCTTCCAAACAGGCGAAAGTGCAACAAACCGGATCTCATGGAATTACTGTCGGTGCTAATGGGTCGATTCAGTCTCCCGGAACTCGAAAAACTGCACCAGGGTCATCGTTCCAGACACCAAGTAAGCAACGACAAATCGAATCCTGCAATCTAATACGCCAGCCATCCGTACCGCTATCATCGTCCCTTACATCCAGCACTTCCAGTGCTCTAAGGACTGCACCAGGTGCATCGTTCCAGACTCCGAGTGTACCTCGAAAAGTTGAACTCACCCTAGCACGCCAGGAGATTTTACCAGAACGAGGACCATCCGAAACTTCCGAAGCACGAGATATATCAACAGGCGCGTCATTCCCGGTACCCGGTGTGCAGCAACAAGTTGGATTCGACAAACTGACACATCAGAAGACAACATCACGACAAATAATCCAAACACCAGGCACGTACGACATTCGCGAGACTGATCCAGGTCTTTCGTTCCAAACATTGTGTACCACACCATCCTCGTTTATAGCACCTACAATGATACATCAGAGACCAGCTCCAGAAGTTGTACCAAATCTACAAGAGCTATCTGATCAGTACAAAACTGAAAGGATCCCAACAAATGAAATGATGTATGCACCATCTTCTCCGAAAGGTAACAATAATTAATTCAATATCTGATTTTTCTTAAATTTTGTTTTGTTTTCTTTCAAACAGATCCAGCCTTAGGTCATCAGTCTACTTATCAGCAACCTATCTTTGTTAATGATGATGGCATAATGTACATCACTCAAACAGACGACTCCGCCAACGCTGGTAAGAAATCGTATGAAAGCATTCCTATATGATCATGTCACTAATATATTTTCCTATTTTTAGGCAATCTGTCGCTCCTTCCTTTTGATGATTTCAAATGTGAAGTCGAAGCCCTCAGATCTGAAATGGCTAATTTGAGGACTGAATTCCACAATATGAAGCAGGAATTCAAAGAGACTATCTCGAATTCAATTCGCCAAGCCGTGACAGATTGCTTCGAAAGCAATTTCATTCGATTGGCTGCCATGATGGACATGTCTAAAAAAATCGATGAGCCTGTGATGCAAACAGGGCAAACCATCGAGGAGCATGTACCTATCAATGACGCAGATAATTTAACTAAATTTAACATACTATTGGCAAATGAGGATGTACGCAAACAATATGTAAGTTTTCTTTTTAATTTATCGACAAATCTTGACATACTTTTGTTTCAGATTGCCTACTACACGAAAATTGTTATCCCAGACACGTACATTGGAAGAGGAGATTCGGCTTTTTATATAATAGCAGATTGCCTATTTACGCGAGCGTTCTGGGACACATTTACCTGGACGGGAATCAATCGTGGCAACAAATCCAAAAAGGGGTTTCGCGAATTTGCCAACGTTCTTCAATTACTCCTGGCAATTGTACGTATTGGTGATCCAACGTACACATTACGAAATCTGGAAACATTTTGCAAAACTCGACTCTTCCGTTACTTGAAGGCAAGGTCTATCAGTAAGCAGCTACGGAAATCGGCTTTTCGTCCGAATCGGAAAAAGAAACACGACGGAAATGCGGATATTCCCATTGAATGCGAGCTTGGAGCAGGTACTACAGATGATGAGGTCGATGAACCCGCAGCCGAAACTTTGGAAAATGCCGATGATGATGCTTCACATGCAGACAGTTCTATTGAGGGAAATGAACGTAAGTCAAACGCTGATGATACAAGAGAAGCTGATGACGTCGATGCAACCACTGATTCCTGTGACGACGACGTACCCGAAGTGAGCACGCTGTTCGATTCCGATGATAATGCTTCACCAGATTTTGCCGAATTTGAGGAAAATTAAATTCAATAATTTGGTTTTCATACGATTGCTTTGCTGTATTTCCGAATTCCATGATTCCATGAATTGCAATAAACATTGCAGTTGCGAAAAACATTGTTATTCTGATTCATTGTGTAGGTAAACTACTTCACAGTATGTATTAGAGGAACAAAAACAATTTCATTTTTCCATGGTATAGCAACTAGTTTACACATGATCGAACTGATATCGCACAATTGATTCTTGGATAAGTTACTTTTCTCTGCCTTAGCAACAAAAATATGAATAAAAGAAGATTTGAAAGGTTTAACGAAAAAGTCATTCTTATGCAGTACATAACTACCTTCAATCACCCAATCCGAATTGTTTTCAATGACATTTTCCATACAAACAATATGAAGGTCTTTAGTTAGAATCCATTTATCTTCAAAGTTTGTACTCAAAATGAAGTCCGTTAGGGTGATCTTGATTTTAGATATTGTCTTCTCAACGGAAATAGTAGTTCTTGTATTAGTTGAACATGCATGGCTTATGTTTTTTGAAGTTTCATTATTAACAAGTTCGATCAAACGGTTTGCTATTTGATTCAAGGGCAGCGGTCCTGCTTGGATCATTTTTTTAATAGAATGTAAGTAATTTTCGAACGGATAAGCAGTTAGTGTACACAAAGGTCCAAACCTTTCTACTTCATCTACTACGTGGCACAAATTATGAACATTGCTTGTAAGGTATTCTACTCCGTACAGATCTTTTAATTCATTTATGAAATCATTCAACAAATCACGGGCAACTGGAACATAACCATTGTACATTTCAATAGAACATATACGAACTGCACAAAACAAATATAGAAAATGATGATAGAATTTGTCAGGTAGAAAATCTTTAAGAAGTACCAAACTAACGTAGTTAAGAAAATTACGATACTCTAAACCTTTCCACAAATAAACAAACTGCAATAATCGCATTCGTCGATGAATTTCTGAAGGAAATCGAATTTTTACAAGGAAATTTGATATTTCTGCATTATCTTTGATACTCAATTTAGCACGCTTTGTCATTGAACCTGTGCGCCAACCGTTCAGCAGTTTCCTCATCACACCTAATTCCAACAAATGTAGAGCGTCAGACACAATAATGTCCTCTATTAGATCTATTGGTAAACGTATGAGAGGTATCACTTCGTTGATTTTCGGGATACTCCTTCACATAAATCGATTTTGTATGCACATTGTTCATGGCATCAAGCGAAATTGTAATTAGTGTTAAAAGTAGTATTTCTTACGACTCTGCATAAGCACACTATAATTTGACAGTAATAGTGATCGTTTATAAATCACAAGTTGGAAAACATACAATCTTGCTTACACATACTGTGATGTGCATTGTACATTGTTACGATGTGAAATATTGGTCGTAACAAATGGAAGAAAAAACATTAAATACGAAAAAATATAAACATTTAGTATGCTTATGATAGACAGATATACGATAGTAATTTCAAGTATTATTTTATACGATTCAAACTGTGTAATGGTATACGATTTCTGGTTGTCTGGGTATGCCGTAGATTACACATTTTTATATCATATGGGTGGAAAGTTCGTAGAGCAAATACTTTAAAATTCTTCACTTTTTAAGATATCTTCGAGCATGAAACTAAGTCAAACTTCAACAAAATCTCTTTGACTAGTCAACCCTTGGTCACAATGTTGGTACATATCACATTAAGCTTTGCTTTGAAAGTTGTTACAGCAGTTTTCGTTGTTTCAGTCTCGAGATACAAATATTATAAGCCGTAAATTACCTTAAAAACATAAAATTAGCCGATTTTGCTGAAAATCTGCACAGAAGCTAAAATTAACATAACAAACAGTAATCACGGTTGACCCGGTGCATCCGAACATTTCTTTTAAAACGAACAGGTCTAATGAGCAATAATAAAAATTGAAAAGATAAACCAATCACACCAACTTTTACTGTTTTTTCACCCTTCTGTCCAATTTTCGTTTCTATTTGTGAACTTGTTGTCCTTCTTTGCATCACTGCTAGTCGCTGCTAGTCTCCAATGTTACGTCCATTATCTTTGTATGATAATCTTGAGTTCGTAGTTCCGTCTTATAAAACCGTAGCACCGATGCGGAAAAAATACAGTGTCTCCAAGTATTTTCTTAACGAGCATCACTCCATTTTCGTATTGCATGTGCTCCATTTTGCAGCTCTTCTTTCACTTTTACTTTGTTGACTCCATGGTACCGGAAAAGATATAGATATATTCATTATTAGCAATGCTGTAATATAACCCGCAACGGGATGGCCGTAAAGAATGGTTCAACGGATATGAAATGATGGAACATTTAAATTTAACACGATTTAAATTATTTCAATGCAACATTAAGTATGTTCACTAACAATTTATACATTTTTTCAATATGTTATCCTAACTAATTTTTGGAAGAATTTACTTGTGTTTTATACAATTAGTATCAATGTTCCGTCATATCGTATCTTCAAGTGATCATCAAGTGATGAAATATGAAACGCACCTTTACAGCGAATTGCACATAATTACCCATTACTTACTGACACATGAAATTTGCCTCGACCTGGCAGAACGCGCCCTAACCCTCACTGAGCCAAAGGGCAGGGAATAACAAAAAAAAAATATTTGGTTACCAAAACAATACCTGTGTGGTATTGTTTTGGTATTGCGTTTGCAAAATTTGGTATTTGAATGATATTGTGGGAACAGTTTTTTGGTATTATTTTTTAGTATTTACACTTTTTTTGTCAGGCTCAGCCATACCAATTTAAGGTATCGCGATATTCGTGCCTGTTCAGGTTATTAGCTACATACGGATAGGACGCGTGGGCGAGTTTAACTTAACTTGAACGCATTATCGTTCCTAGATAAAGTGCAGGCAGATTATGTAAAAGACCGATCGTTCCTTTTTCCCTGCATTTCATTTCATTTTCTTGAATCTGGTATCAACATCAGCAGGAGTTGTGCAACTTTGTGGATTAGCTTATAAGCTAATCCACATAGTTGCACAAGTCCTGCTGATGGATGGATTTAATTTAAAATTATTTGCCTCGCGGTTACACTTTTTGAATTCTCTTAACATTGTATTTTAAATTCTCGTTAACATTGTAATTCTCTTAACATTCTAACAGTATTTCCAAAGTATTACCCGTATAGTTCTACTGCATTTCGTATTAGAATTCTTCTCATAATTTGTTAAGTGCTCTCCAAAAGTTCGCAGAGAATCAGCCTAAATGAAATGCTCCTCCAAATTCCATTGAAACTCCCCTTTTAACGCTCTTGAAAATATCACCGAAATTGCCTTGGAAAACACCCAGTAATTTACAGATCCATAATTTCGGATCCTTTCAGTATCGATTCGACTAGCCTAGAATCCACATGGCACATTGGCACATGATGTAAACACGCTTCTTCGCACTGCCGCCGTCACTTTGAACAGTCCGGCAGGAGCTGGCGCACGTTATTCGTAACCACTAAACGGTGCACTCGTTAAGCAGCACTATACCTCCAGCTTTAATTAAATTAAATTATCGATCCTCGCGTGGGCAATTAATAATACACAAAATCAACAGCTTTGGAACCTCTACGGACGAAAGCAACTCAGCTGAGAAGAGAACGTGGCTACCCATACGGACGTGGTGTATGTAATCATCTAAATCTTGCAACTGCCTGGTGTCTACCGTGTAAACATTCGCACGCGGTCTGTGTTTGTACTAATTAAAATCTGTTCTTCAAACGGGGCGCAAAACGCTACGCTTCTCGAGTCAAAGGCAATTTTATGCAACGGTTTCTAAACGCTTTATGGCAGCCGATCAAAACTGTCCGTCCCGGAGGGGACATCAGTAATTCATTTTCTGCAGGAAGAAAACTGCAATTTCATTGCACTTCTTGACGCCAGGCCGAAACATCATAATCTGATGTCACTTTCTCCGGTCCCAAAGTAATGCTTGTCTCTATTGTTGTTCAGTTGCCTGCACTACTGGCCGGACGGACAGTTCGTGTCGTGCATTTGTTCTGTCGCTGTGTAGCCGCCGTTGTAAGCTGTCGAGTTTTTGCACATGTAAACAAAACTGCATTATAAAATTTATTAACACTTTCACCTACGCATCGTGTAATATGCACCGTCGTCGTCGTCGTGTTCACAACGGTTGTGATCACCGCTCGCCAGCCACGGTAAGATTTACCTATAAGTGAATCCCCCAGTGGACAATCGGGATTACTGCACAAATTGTTAGGGAGGTCTTATCGCAGTGGGCGTGGGATTAACTATTCCAAAATGCTTAATCTATCTTTTGCTTGGGCTTTTGGCCACCAAAATTCACACATTTTATTACAACCTAATGCAAGCAATCCACGCCACCAGAAGTCACGCTCAGCGTCCACCGAATCAACTTTTCACCAAGGTGCAAGATTGGGAAAAGAATTTTAATTGAGTCATTCGGTACCTCTTAAAATGAAATTTTATTTGCTGAAGTCGGTAGGCAAACTGGAAAACCGCACGATAAGACGCAAGTTGCGGATCAATGAAAATTCCAACCATTCCGAGCTTTTAGCCGAGCGTTTCAGCGTGCAGTAAGTTCGATGACAGAACAATCCGAACTGGTACAAGTTTTGAACGGAGAAAACAGGTGAAATGGTGGGCAGTCAAATAACATGTTCTCTTGATCTCGAGAGCTTTGAATGTCGAAAGCGTAGTACATTGGAAGCGAAAGATAGAGATAGAAGCATTACACTATTGTTCGGATTTGAGTTGCAATGATCAAAAGATCGTGCCAAACTGCTGCTGCAAGGAAGGAAAGCAACTCAACTTGACCTTTCGGCGGGAAATGAACGGTGGGCACGCCCACAGCCAATGCGGATATTAAATTAATATATTACAATATTTATTGAAAGCATAGTTCCTTTAAAAACTGTGTTTTAACAAATAAAATTAACTGTGTTTAAGGTTGTGTATTTGAGGTTATTTTGAAGAAATTTC